ACGTTTTGATGTCATATTTTTTGGGGGGTCTTTCAATGATTGATAAAAAATAACGAAAAACAAAATATTTTTTGTAAAAAATCAATTTAATTCATAAAACAAGCCGACCGACCGAGGATGCTCCGACACCAAACCTTTTGCCTAATATTTCGTGGGAACCGTTTCCTGCTTCAAATTCCTCGATTATTCTCACCTTCTGAGCCAAGGTAAGCGTAGTGTGCTTCCGTTTCACGACTTGCTTATTATCCACTCCGGAACTGGAAGCTGATACTCCTTCCATTGTGTAAGCTGAACAAATTTCAGGAGGATAATTGCTACAACATTACAAACAACGTATGAATGCACAAATATTTACCAGCGCCGGAAATAACTCAACAAAATATTCAATCGATTCACTCAATTTACACTCACGCAAGACAAAAACTAAGTAGCTGCTCACAGCATCAGCACAGAGAACAGACATGGAGGCTCGAACAAAATTTCTCTAAAAACATGTGTAAAAATTCTATTCGACTTAAGCGCCACTAACGACGACTTCCCCACTTAAAAACCCTCTTTGACAACATGATGGCGCTGGCGTTGCACAAATTACACTAGACACTAAGTGCTAGTAGCGCCAAGTGGCAATTTTCAACAGAAAATTTATCGATACTAGCGCCAAATTGGTCGAAAGTGGAAAATTTATAGAGAAAATCAGGAGATGCTAACACCACGTAACGGCGACGTTCCCACTTATTTTACACAAGTTTCTGTCCGAACTTGAACGTCTGTTCTCTGTGGCATCAGTTAAGCAGACGAAAGACTGAAAACCAAAACAAACGAGTCAAGCGCCCTCCGGTCAACTTTGACACTTGTCGACACCCCCCAATTAGCGAATGCCATTCGATAATTGGGGTGCAGTCGTGCCCCAATTAGCGAACGGCTACTGTATTGACAACCATAAATTTTCTTGTTTATTTTCAACACGAATATTTTTAAAATAAACGTAACAATATTTTTGCTATTTACAATGGCTTCAAACATGAAATCAACCTAGTTTATGTTTGTGGCAAGAACAAATTGAGTTTACACGGAACCAAATTTTGTTCATTTAAGTTAAAAATATATATGTTTATTAAATAAAAATATGAATGGTTCAAAGTAAATTACAAACATGTTCTCAACAAAAATATGTATGTTTAGAATAAATTCAAAAGCATGTTTATTTCAACAATACATAACCTGGGTAATCATTTTTTAGCGTGTCCTTTTTTCCTTCTTGTTTACATTCGGCAAACTTAACCGAAAACGGCCTGCAAGCGGCAAAACCGAAGTAGAGGGTCCGGAAACCCACGCAATGTTCCAAGCTCGACAAAACCGTTATATTAACGGCAATCCGTCGTTTCTGATACCGATCCCCATATCATCCTCACCCCCCACCCGACGTCGAAAGAAAAACAGATCATCCCCGAACACTAAACGTAGAAAGAGGCCGGTATGAGGACCAGCGTCATAAACGACAAAATGACGCTAATATCACAAAGTTTCACCAGTTTTACTGAACTGGATCGGATCGGACACCCACCCCGACGGCCCCCCGGATCCAAACATCCACAGACTTTCCATAATCGCAGGAATTTCCATTAATTTGCTATCCATTTTATTTTGATTTATTCAGCATTCAAATGCTAAAATAATTTCAAAATATGTTTGTTTATTTTAAACATGAAAAGCATGTTTAAAATAAACATATTAATTTTTGATTGCATATAGTTTTCAAATAAATCAAAAATATTCACGTTTATTTTCAACACGAGTATTTTTAAAATAAACGTAACATTATTTTTGTTTTAAACATTATTATCAATGGATTCAAACGTAGAATACGTTTGAAATCAACCTAGTTTATGTTTGTGGCCAGAACAAACTGAATTTACGTTTAAATTTGCCTCAAATATTTTTGTTTCGACGGTAATTTTTTCTGCGTGTACGTTTAAATTTACCTCATATATGTTTGTTTCGACGGTAAATTTTTCTGCGTGAAGAAATTAAATTTTGACAACCGTGGCTGAGTTCTGCTCGAAAACCGGTCGATCGGTAGCACCGGGATTTTCAAACATAAGAAATAACTTTCGAAATGTCACTTTTAACCACAAGTTAAATTAAACTCGGCAAATGAGCAACCATACCAATGAGTAAATAAGGCACATTAACCAACCTCTACCATAAAGGCCGGCGCACAATAGATACGTTTTCAGGCTTTTTGACAGTTAGCCCATGCATTATCTGTCAAAAAACCCGAAAACGTATAACCGGTGAACACTCGTGTTTATTTCAGTTACCATGGAGACGTATTTTGTGATTAGCCCCGGTCCCTTTCAAATTGTATCATTATTTATGAACGGCCTTATATTTGAAATGACGTTTCACATTCATCTAGTGATGTCCGATTTTCATTCGAATAATCGTTTAATCGATTAACGAACCGAAAAGTAAACTATTTATAATCGGTTAGATCATGCCGATATAAGCATTAACATCTCCACAGGATCATCACCGGTCGTTTCAAACATGTGCTGCACTCTCTCTGGTGGAAAAATGGCAGCACAGCGAACAAAAAATAATCGATTAGTTGTTAATCGAGTAATTAAAAAATGGGACATCTCTGATTTTGGTGTGATTGTTTTGATAAAAATGAGCGCAAAATTTCATCTCTTCCGAGGGGGCAGCAAAACCACAAAATTACCTTGAATACGGGGGGTTCTCATTGGATGAAAGGGACCGTGAAAGAAGACACTAAAATAGAAAGTTTTTCTTCCGATAGCTTCATCTTCGTATTCATCTTTGGTTGTACCCTTCCGAAAACGGCAAAACTGCTACCTAGCTGTACAATGAATGTACATAATAAAATGTTGTTACAATGAATTTTATTGTACTTATCATTTATCTTATTGTTAACATGATTCGATCACGAACAATAATGAACAACTCTGTGCCAACATTTCAAAGGGGCGTAATTGCTTTTGTAAACAATGACTTTAGCCGTCAATTTCTCGCGAATGAAATCTTACCTCTCCAAAATTACAATGCTAGCTGGTAAAGGAAACATTCCTCTACCTGGTGGTGTCATTATTTTTCATGAGTGAGCTTTTATTCGCGAGAAATCGACGGAAAAAGCTATTGTTTACAAATGCAATTACGCCCCTTTGAAATGTTGGCACTGAACTCTATTACAATAAAAATTGTTGTTACATTAAATATTTGTCGAAAATTTCCGAGGGGGGCGACACATCTAAATCTCAAGTTTAGATGCTCAACAAATCTCACACTAGAGAATCAATCTTCGAAAAATCTTCTTTCATTTGTCGCATCTACTTGCATCGCGCATCATCTTCTTGCAGGAAATCCCGCATAAACGCGAACCATAAATTGACCTTACCTAAAATGGTTAAAAATTGTTTATAATCCCTGCTAAACTTTAACTGAAATGGTTATGGAACTTTACATGGACGTTTAATGATAAAGTTTCAACCTTATGTATTATGGTTTTTTGGAACTGGACCTTACAAATAATGGGTTGTTAAGAACCATTACCGTTCCAAATTCTTGTTTTCTCCATACATTTTCGGAAAGAGAACTATATTAGAACCTTTTAACTTATGGTTTGAGAACTTTAATGGTAATGGTTATGGTAGTCAGTAAGGTCCACGAATGGTTTTGTAACATCGATCAACTTTATGTGGAATATATCGCGAATTGGTTGCCTGTAATTTACTGATTACCAATTCACGATATATTCCACGTAAAGTTGAGTGATAATACAAAACCATTAATGGACCTTGCTGACTACCATAACCATTACCATTAATGTTCTCAAATCATAAGTAAAAACGTTCTCATATAGTTCTCTTTCTGAAAATGTATGGAGAAAACAAAAATTTGGAATGGTAATGGTTCTTAACAACCCATTATTTGTAAGGTCCAGTTCCAAAAAACCATAATACATAAGGTTGAAACTTTATCATTAAACGTTCATGTAAAGTTCCATAACCATTTCAGTTAAAGTTTAGCAGGGATTATAAACAATTTTTAACCATTTTAGGTAAGGTCAATTTATGGTTCGCGTTTATGCGGGATCTTCTGAATCGTCAAAAATCTGCTTTCTATCTACTCAGCGTGCGTGCAGCTAGCCACAGCATAACACAATTTTTTCTGCATCGTAGATAGAGTCGTCCCCCTCGAAAATTTCATTGTTAAGATACTTAACAACCCCCCTTTTTTATTGTAAATTTTCCATTTACCATGAAATTTGCTGTTTTGTACAACATAAATCAAGGTTAATTTATTGTAGACGTAACAATATAAATCATTGTTAAGACAATTATTTTCGTCTTATTGTTACATTGTTTTTTATTGTATTTTTGTTGTTTTTTTTTCGGGAACGCATCAGACGGTTGTTATTTTGAATAAACGTCAAAAATTTGTTTTGCCGGTGTGGAAAACGGTGACTTAAATTATGACTCTGATAGCGAACCGGTGTGGAGAGGAGTGATTAAACAAAAATGGAAACGCTGTGCGTAAGTAAAATAGTGCCGCAAATGGCACTATCGTACGGTTGCTCTAAGATGATATATTTTTGCTCGTTATTTTAGGCTGTGAACCATTTGCCGAATTAAATTTAACTCGTGGTTAAAAGTGACATTTCGAAAGTTATTTTCTATGTTCGAAAATCCCTGTGCTGTCGATCGACCGGTTTTCGAGAAGAACATAGCAAAGGTTGTCAAAATTTTACTTCCTGTCTATCAGAAGTAACCACGCTCGGATAGCAGGGTTAATCGATAACTTTTCATCTGTCACATTTTAACCAAAAGTTGAAATAATCCACCAAATGGTTCAGAGCCTTAATGTGAGCCAGTCTAGTGTAGGTGAGATGTGAACAGTTTCTTTTTGCAAAATGTTTAAATGTATTTAGCGTGTATCACCAAACGTCAAAACAAACCAACGTGTTTCTGTTTCTGTTTTGTTGGTTTTGTTGAATCGAATGTGCTCAGACAAAGAGGTGGTGCTTGAAAACATTGTTATTTTGCGTATTTTGCTTCTTCCTCGTGTTAAAAACCGCTGTTCATACAAATGGGTCGCAAAATTAATTTCGCGGAAGTACCGAAAAGGGGTCCTGGCAGAAAGGCTAAAAAACAAAAAGACCCTACTTTCGATAAGAAACTGTTCAAAGGTAAGTCAGCCATAAGACAGTAAGCGTAGCCCTAACCTCGAACTGTATTTGCAGATGGAGAAGATCCCGAGGATTCCAAAAAATTATCCCACCGCCAGAAGCTCCGAGCTAAGAAACGAGAGCTACAAAAGATTAAAAAGCATGAATTAAAAGCAAAGAACAAGGAAGTTAAGATAAAAATCAAACCAGTAACAAAAACTAAGTCTAAGTACACCAGCGATGACGATGAATCGGAGGAAGAAAATAAGGTTCAGAACCAATTACCGGTTCAGATGAATTTGCAAAAAAGTAAGGAGAAATATGCAAAGGTAATCGGCAAAATCCAAAGACCGGTGACACCGGCCAGAAATGATGTTGCAGAATCTGGATCAGATGAAGAAGAGCTTTCCGACGAAGAACCTGCAAATGAGCAAGATAATAAACGCGGCAGAGATATATTGGCCAGCGATGACGATTCCGATGATGAGCATGAACCACACACTAAAGTCGGTAAATTGAAAGATTTTATGGATTCTGAAGAGGACGAAGATGACTCGGAAGAAAGCGAGGAAATTGAGGACGATGATGATGATGATGACGAAACAATGCTACCGATTGAAAAAGCTGGAAAAAAGTTGAAGAAAAAAATGGAAGAGGAAAAACGTTTAGCTGACGAGGAAATGCAGGATTCTGTAGCAAACAAGGAGAAATTTCAATTTCCAGAGGATAATCAAAACGCTGCTGTAAATCTGCAGGATATCCACATGCGAATAAAAGAAGTTATTGGAGTACTGGCTGATTTTTCAGTAAATCGCGATCCCAATCGCTCCAGATCGGAATACATGGAATTATTGTTCAAAGATTTATGCGTTTACTATTCGTATAATGAATTTTTCATGCAGCTTCTTATGAAGCTGTTCTCGCCCAATGAACTGTTGGAGTTTTTGGAATCATCTGAAGTCCAACGACCATTGACGATTCGATCTAATAGTTTAAAAACTCGTCGCCGCGATTTGGCTCAATCACTTATCAATAGGGGGGTCAATCTAGATCCTATTGGAAAGTGGTCAAAGGAAGGCTTAGTAGTTTACACGTCACAGGTATGTTTCTATATTGTTTTTTTTTAATGTTCATGAGAATCAGATTTGTTTTGTAGGTTCCATTGGGAGCTACGCCGGAGTATCTTGCCGGACACTACATGATTCAAGGCGCATCAAGTATGCTGCCAGTGATTGCTCTAGGACCAGAAGAAAACGAAAGAATTTTGGATCTATGTGCAGCTCCGGGAGGAAAAAGTTCCCACGTCGCTGCACTTATGAAGAACACGGGTGTTCTGTTTGCAAATGACGTTAACAAGGATCGCCTTCAAGCAGTTGTTGGCAATTTTCATCGATTGGGAATCCAGAACGCAATCGTGACGAGCATTGACGGTACCAAATACCGAGACGTTATGACTGGGTTCGATCGAGTTCTACTAGACGCACCTTGTACTGGATCCGGAGTTATTTCAAAGGATCCGAGTGTAAAGACTACTAAATCTGAAGTCGATATACAGCGTTGTTATAATCTACAACGCAAATTGTTGCTAACGGCTATCGATTGTTTGAGTGCAAATTCTGAAACTGGTGGGTACTTGGTATATTCAACATGCTCCATTCTTCCACAAGAAAACGAATGGGTCGTAGATTATGCTATTCGGAAACGAAATGTTCGCCTTGTTTCTACCGGATTGGACTTTGGTAATGAGGGATTTGTTAACTTCGCCGGCCAGAAATATCACCCTTCGATGAAATTAACCCGTCGTTTTTATCCCCACACGTACAACATGGACGGATTTTTTGTAGCCAAGTTGCAGAAATTTTCAGATGCCATTCCAAACACCAAGAAGGAAGATTCAGATGAAGAAATAGACGCGGATGAACAAGAACAAGTACAAGAACTTCCAAAAAAGATCGATAAACGCGATTGGTACTACAAGGATATAATCGACAAGCGAAAGAAACAGCGTGAGGATTCTAGCCACGTAGTGAAAGTATTCGAGAAACCTTCAAAAACTAAAAAGCCAAACAAAAGCCCAGTAAATGGCACTTCAACGGCTGCAACGGAATCTATCAGCACACCAACTTCGGACAGTGGATTGAAAATATCTAACAAGAAAGCAAAGTTATCCGAAAAGAAAATCAAGAAAAAGCGTCTCTCAATGCAAGAGTCAATTGTGTCTAATGACGGAGAAATTCAGCAGACGCCGAAACTGAAGAAACGTTTATCACTTCCTGGGTCTTTTGTGCGTAGAAGTAAGAAGTAACTTAGAAAACATACATCCAGGGTTACTTCCATTCTTTTCGGATAAAAAGATGTTTTATGAGACTTTGGAGTCATTAGATGTTGTATTTATAAATAACAAGAAGAGGCTGTAAAGTTTTCGTTTGACCCATACAACCTGCCGCTTTATGAGACTCAATAAGTGATTTTTCACCCATTCTTAGCGAACAGCAGTCCGAAAATCGCTGATAGTCACTCTTTGAAAGTAAAATTGGCAGGCTTATGTGTACAACACGTTCCTTACAACATTTTATTGTAACTTACTAATAGAAACGATCATTATAACATCTTATAATTCCACAATACTATAAAACATGTTTTTATGCGAAATTAATGGAAGTAGCCCTGCATACATTTCGTTGCAACATATTAATTAAATAAAGTTCATTCATTGTACAGTTTGAAGCTAATGAAACTTGTTCTTTTCTTTTTGCCACATTTTCCCTTTGTTTATACCTATCTCGTAAGTCCTAGGGTCCGTGTAAAAGGGTTGATTTTAAACAAAAACGATTTTAAATGGATTTGATAATTTTAGACAGGAACATCTTCGCTCAGATAGTCGATATTACGATATTGCAAAGCCGAAGGCGGCGGGTCGGTCGAGGAATTTTTTCATGGTGGACATTTTTTACTCTTCCCTGCTATCATAAAATTACCTTTAAAACACTTGATTTTCTTCAGTCCCGGGACGCATATTCGGAAGCCCTCGATGTCTCCGACTCGGTTCTGCCTATCGCTGCCTGTGTTCTTCACAGCCCACGGTGGGAAAAAAACTGGACAAAAATATGAAAATCAATTATATATTTTGATTATTTTATATTTTAACCTATTTCTAGCGTTCAGAATCATAAGGGTCCAACTACGACAATTTTTTTTTGACGTAGGACTACGTCTGTGATTTCTATATGGGGGTACACTTTGTGAAAACCGAAAATGGAACATGTAACAAATTATGAATGATTTTGAACGCTAATAACTCAACTGCCCCAAACGGTGCCGGTGGTGTAGTGGTAAGCGTGATTACCTCTCACCCCAGCAGGCCTGGGTTCAATACCAGTCGGCGCCGCCGGGATGTTCTGAGGCATAACATCTCTGATCACGCCTTCCTTCGGATGGGAAGTAAAGCTGTTGGTCCCCGGTTCATGAGTTGATGGGTCGATAGGTAGGGTCCAGGTGTGGGAGCTGCCTTCCTGGCACGTCTCCGTGCTCAGCACGGAAAACAAGATCAACGGAAAAAACAAACCAAAGGAAAAAAAAAAAACTCAACTGCCCCTGGTCCAATTTCAATAATTTTATCACCTATCGATCAGAAATATAACTACGCATTGATGACAATGCTTCCGAATGTTGATTTTCAACAAGAAACTATTGAAAAACTGGTAAATGTCCAGCATTGTCCAAAAGCGTCGAATTAACTAACAAATCCACCAATTACCTACATGCATATGCTGCTTCCCCAGCACAGTCGTCAGAGAGTAGTAAGGCTCTGAACCATTTGGCGAATTTTTCAACTTTTGGTTAAAATTTGCAGATGGAAAGTTATCGATTAACCCTGCTATCCGAGCATGGTTATTTCAGACAGACAAGAAGTTAAATTTTGACAATTGTGGCTCGAAAACCGGTCGATCGACAGCACGGGGATTTTCGAACATAGAAAATAACTTTCGAAATGTCAGTTTTAACCACGAGTTAAATTCGACTCGGCAAATGGTTCACAGCCTATAGATCATTTTATAGTCCTAGATTTAGTGTAAATGACGGCCAAATCTATGAAACCCTTATTTCTTCAACTTATAAAAACTTGTTATTAAAATGCATAGCAATCTCCAATCAAAGTGTTGAAATCATGAAAACCATGTCATATGTATCAAAATTTACTAAAGAAGATGTATTGTACTCAAGAGGATGCTATTTTCATGTTCAACAGCAATAAATAATCAACGTTTTTTACCTTTTAGATGGAATACTAATGCAACACAGAAGTGTTGTAATTTTTGCTAAAAAAATTGAAATAATTGCTTTTGATGATCATCTCCAATCATTTGAATTAAAATTATCGGATAAGATAGTTGCGTTACAAAATTTTGTGTATCTAAATTCAAACAAAATTAACCTACATATTGTAGATTCACACATATATTGGAGACACTGCATTTTTTTTAAATATGTACGACCCATTACCTAGAAGTATACTGAGCATCGTGAGTATTGAATGTATTATTCAATATTAATGTTTGATGCTCTGGTTTTAAGTTAGGGCAAATTGTGTTATTTAGTCAACGATTAAGGTTATTTCTAACTGTTATGCCTGTTGATCTGTTGTTTTACTTCGGTTTACTGTTTTCATGGATTGTATTTGTTCGTTAACGTTTCCATATTCGTAAGATAAAATTGAATTTGGTTCCTAATCGAACGAATTCTTTTTATGCGAGACAGCTTATTGTAGGCAATTTTCTAAAAACCTGATTTCTATTGATTGATTGATTTAAATAAATATTATTTTGATACAATACAAAGATATGACTCGTTACAACTAAAATTATTCGTTGCTTGAAAAAAAATAGAAGTGTCTGTGCCTAGGGCACGGACGGAAGCTTGACGTAGGACCGCTAGTGGACGGTATAAATGTGAAGAGCATTTAGTTCTTTTAATTGATCTATTATCTCAACTCTTTCCGTTTTTTTAATTTTGTAGGCGTACCAAATTTGTAGTAATTTTTTTCAAAGAGAAAGTTGATTAAGAGAATCAATCAAAATCACTTGCACCCCTGCTTCCAAGTTTGGTTACAAGATTACAACTCTGGAGAGCATTTTGTGTGGTCGTTGGGGGCTTGTGCTTCTGAATATGGACAAACAAGCACAGATAAATTCTATTCCAACTCTTTACTAATGTAAGCTTGATGGCCCTGAAAAGGGCCGTTTTATTGAAGAGGACATCCATGGCCACTTACGCTTGGCGTGTTTAGTGTAGGTGACAGCATCACGGACCTCATTTTCCAGGAACACCTGCAGCACACCTCGTAGATCAGACCGGAGATACGTTTGACACCACCACGGCGAGCCAGACGATCGCGCCTCCTTTACCAGACCTTTTCCTCCTTTGCCACGACCAGTCAATTGTTGCTTGTTAGGTGTGAAGGAGTGGACTAGTCACCACCTTCCTACTGCTGCTATTGCTGTTCACCACGCCGTCCGAAGCGAAAATGAGCTAATGCCATACAGCAGCACTCTTTTATATCTTTTCAGGTTAAAGCAGAATGATGTGCAACCAAGTGGTATAAAAGCTACAAAGACTCCTCCCATTATGAGTAGTTTGCTAGTAGTAACGACACTGGCTCTTTTTCTTTTGCGTACACGGCAAATGAGAACGACCCAAATTTGAGTTTAGTTCACTCATAATCATCAAAAGTGCAGGAACTCAGCGATGAGTAAATTTGTCTCATGGTTTCCTGTGGAAAACCTAAAAAATCTGCCAAAAAATGAGGAAATTTACGAAAACTTTATTCAGTCTCGGAGTAGTACCAATAGACTGAGGGAATCCAATCTTTACTTTTCTCAAATTCGGGATTTTTTCGATGGAAAATCCTTGAAAAACCTGGGAAAACATGAGGGAAATTTACTCATCGCTGAGTCCCTGCACTTTATTTCTTATTTCTGAGATAACTAAACTCAAATTTAGGTCGTTCTCACTTCGACTTGTTTCGTCTACTTACTACTCTCTGACGACTGTGCTGGGGAAGCAGCATATGCATGTAGGTAATTGGTGGATTTGTTAGTTAATTCGACGCTTTTGGACAATGCTAAACATTTACCAGTTTTTGAATAGTTTCTTGTTGAAAATCAATATTCGAAAGCATTGTTCTAGATGCGTAGCAATATATCTGATCGATTGGTGATAAAATTATTGAAATTGGACCAGGGGCAGCTGAGTTATTAACGTTCAAAATCTTTCTTAATTTTTTACATGTTCCATTTTCGGTTTTCACAAAGTGTACCCCCATATAGAAATCAAAGACGTAGTCCTAGGTCAAAAAATTCAGGTTGATTCAAGTAAACATTATTTTTTAATCAATAAAAATCGATGTTTAATTCAATAAAGCTGGTAGTATTATTTCAATTCTATATTTTTATTGGATTACTCTATGGATTTTATTGATCTATATTCTATCCAAAATTTTGTTTGAAATGAATCGTGCTTTATTTGAATGAACAATGTTTTTTTCTGCGTGAAGTAGACGAAACAAGTTGAAGTGGCATTCGCCTCCGATCCTCGGGCGCATGCGAATAGGAAGGATGGAATTGCGTAATATTTTACACACTTATCGCCATATTCAGAACCACACGCTCCCAACGACCACACAAAATGCTCGCCAGAGTTGTAATCTTGTAACCAAACTTGGAAACAGGGGATACACTCAAAAAATATATCACATATGTAATGCATGAAATCCATGTGAATTTCACATAGCTTTCCAAAAAAAGTTGACGACAACCTAAAGAAATTGTTAATGGACTTTGTCGTTCAGTTTTTTCCTGGAATTTTTTGTTAAATAAGCTAGAATTAAATAAAAAAGGTTTTTCCCCATACATTTTGACGTAGAACTACGTCTTTGTCGACTATACTGGGGTGCAAATAAAAAATATGTGTGGTGAAGTAGTGTTAGGTTTTGAACGCTTGTAGCTTTGTCATTTATAGTTGAAATTAAAATCCAAATACACCAATCGATAGGATATTCCTGAACGCATCTGCTAAAATAAATACTTTTTCAATTTTTTATCAAAAAACTTTTGAAAAATGCACAAATGCTAATTTTATCGCTGTTTTCATGAACTAAACGTTTTCCCCAAACCCAGTCATCATAAACGAAAACCAATTGGTTGCACATTATTCTGCTTGAACCTGAAAAGATATAAAACAGCGCTGCTGTCGTGCCTCTGCTCATTACCGCTTCGGACGGCGTGGCACTTGGTCCTGCAGCAAGCAGGACGAAGTCAGCGGATAAAAAGGTGGATCACGGCGTGAACACTAAATTGGAAAATATGTATGTACCCCCCCCCCTAACAACATCTCCCCCCCCCCCTCCCATCCTAAACAACAACAACCAGGAAAAGACATGGTCTTTGACGGTCACTTTTTCCGGGAAATAAATCTTAAGCAAAACCACAATTATTAATATGTATAAACAAAAGTCCGCACCAAAACATTCAAATTTCAGAAAAAAATTCAATTCATATGCGATGATATTATGTTGGTGAATTACACACAACTGACTGCAAAACATATCTGGTATATCTATCCTTATCCAAAGTCCATCCATTTTTACATATTCTGCACAAAAGAAACTTTCTACCCCGCCCCATTCATAAAAAAATGGTGG